AAAAGGAGGCGTCCGGGGGGGGGGGGGGAGACGAGATGATGGGGCTTGTATGGCTGACGAGGATGTATCTGTGGGACAAAGCATCCCTACTAGGCCAGATCACAGGCTGCCACGCAAGGTGTTACTTTTCTGGTCTATCACTTCCCTTTTGACAGGAGGATGCATCGGTGGTACGGGAATTCACTGGGTCGGACCTTTGGAACATTGTGTGGCATCGCTTTGCCATGGTGCTCCGCTTGACCAAGGGGGCCCCAGTAATGGAAAGTGAGACCCCAAGAGCTGGCCAGCGTGTACCAGAGCCAGAGTGGAACCTCATCTCACCACAAGGTACAAAGTTGTCCTTTTTTTCCTGGTAGAAGATCCCTGAATCACCTAAGTAACTTTGTTCTGTGCCTGGCCTCCAAGGGGTCCTTATCCCCTTGTTTCGTTAGGCAACGGAACCTGAGGGTTTCCAGTCTTTACAAAGCTATATTAAGGAAGCCCACTATTTCTCCAAGCCTGATTATGACAGTCAGGTTTGTGTGTCGTGGGAGGGGGAGGGTATTGAATGAACTAATCAAAGGTATTTTCCATTCTGTCCTGTAGGAACCTTGCTGTTCCTCAGCCTTGTTCTCCACATCTTCCAACGTGAACCTCATCAGTGTCTTCTCCAGCTGGCTCAGCCCAATGGAGTTATCATGGCAACCCTCAGCAAACTGCTTAGCCTTGACTACCTGGAGAACTTGGCACAGACGTGAGTTATGGACAGTCCAAAGTAGAGCTATGGAAAGAACAGAATGAGCACAGTAGTTGAAATGCTACAGGCTCCGATATTTGTGGAGTAGGAAAGAAAGGGAATTGCAAGAAAGGTGCTTCACAGTCCTTCCTCCTCAATAGAGTTCATGAAATTTAACGCAACCATGTCTAGAGCTTCCCTGTGGTTGTTTTAACCACTGAAACTGCTGTGGTGTGTCTTAGAAAAATCACTTCACTACACTTGTTTCTTTAGATATCTGGAAGTAATTACTGCAGTTCTGCCTATGATCTTCTTTGAATGTAGACATCTGACCTTTACTCACCGCTCATTTCCTCTCCCCACCCCAGGCAGATGCGAGACGATGGTGATCCAGAGCTGGTATCTGCTGTTGTGCTCCAAGTATGCCAGCTCTTCTGTTTCCCCTTCGCACTGGATATACACCCTGAAACCTTAGAGCTGATCATGACAGGCCTGAGGGATTCTGAGATCCCTGCTCAGTTGCTCCCGGTAAAGCTTCCTTTCTTCATACCATTTATTGGGACCCCGGGAAAGGGAAGGCGGGGAAGAGGGCCTCACCTTTCCTCCTCATGTTTCCCCAGGGATGCAACCTCTGCATGGGCCAGGCCAGTTGCTTTGTTCAAAACGAAAGAATGTATTTCTCTCGGATTCATGAAGGCTGCATTAATGAAAGAGGTTGGGGAAGGATGGAATGCTACACTTACAAAAGCACTGATATTTAAACCTTTTGTGGCATCCTCTACAATGATAATCGGGGGTCATTTCGTAGGAAAAGAAATGCAGGAGCTCATTAGCATAACTTATTCGCATAACTTATTTGCATATGCCACACCCCCTGACGTCACCGGAAGTGTGTCAGAAGGCAACACCCACCGCTCAGGCTCCACTGGACTGTTTTGGATTGCTAGCTATTGGGGGGGGGACGCGCAGATCTGTCCTCGCAGAGGAGGGAGGGCTTGTACTAAAG